GGGGATGATGGTGTGGTGTTTCGTGGGAAAGACGGTGGTGAGGTCACTGGTGGTGGCTGGAGGCCACAGCGGAGAGAGAAAAAAAAACAGGGTTGGTTACAGGAAAAACGGGCAGAAAAGTTGATTTTCAGCCAACTTTGGGTTCGATTTTCTCCTTCCTCTAAGCATGAAATTTTCTCCTATTTATAGGGATGGAAATAGGGTAATCTCGTCTTCAATGGGGAAAAATTCTTAGCCCTTGATTCGACTCGACAAATCTAAAGCTGCAGGCTGCCCGAGGTGGCCACTTTAGGCCGACCAACAGAGTCATTTTGAATCTTATAAACCCGACCAGACGATTCACGAGGCTAGAGGAGTTGTAGGTGGACATGTTAGTGCAGGCGTTCTCGGATTTGCTGGTCAAACGAGGAAGAAAATGCACCTAGAAAGCTGCTACTCAGGCAGCTTTTCGGGGAAGACGATGAACAGTAACCCGTTTTAAAAAAAAACTCATAAAACGACGCTGTTTTGGGAGTAACTTCAACTTCAGCCCCAAATTTACACGCCTTTTTCATTATAGTCCTTGGTCTCAGATTTATGCAATTTCACCCCTAATTGACCATTAAACTTTCAATTTCTTCAATTTGACCCCTGATTTCACTTAATTAACTTGGTAAAAATTAAATTTGGTTTCTTAAAATTCCAGTCTTCTCAATTAAGCGCAAATTAGACTCCCAAACTTAATTTTTTCGCCAATGAAGCCCCCAAATAAAATTAATTTGACCCATTTAAAGTATAATTAATTCCTTGCATTTAATTAAATCCTTCATTTGGACCGAAATTAATTCTTAAACATAATTAAATTCTAATTTGGCCCATGATTAAATGATTAAATCAAATTGGCCCATTAAAAATTTAATTATATCGTTGGACTTAAGTTTTATGCAAATTCATCCAATGCTCATTTAATTTGACCTTTGAATTTGCATTTTTCTATTTTGGGGCATAATAGGGTACAAGCAGGCCTTGAAATTCCTTCCAAAATTGCAGCTTTATTTTTGCCTATTTTTGCAGTCTTTCTAGATCAGCTTTCTCCACATTGCCAGCCTTTATTTTATTTTATTTTATTTTATTTTAAAAAAAAAAGAGGATTTTGGGGGGAATAACCCAGAATGGGTTATGACAGGGAGCTTGAAGATGATGAGTTGGTCTTGTTATTTTTATTTAAATGTGGGTGACGGTGTGATGGGTCATGGTTTTTTACTCTCTATTTTTGGAGTGTATTTTTGTAATATCTTACTTCGGCGGGTAAGAGATTGGTAGCTGATCTTATTAAGAGTGTTGGTTACTAACTTATCATATACGTTTTGGAGCGTCAGGCTTAGAAGTGGACTTGTGTCATCAGGAACAAAACCATTAGGACCGTAAGGCCTAAAGCGAACAATATATGGCAAGTTGGGCCGAGCTATTATATTTGATATCAGAGTCAACCTCAGTAACTGTTCAATTGTGCCGACAAGGTCATCAGACTCTTTAAAAGGGGTGGATTGTAATATCCCAAGTCGAAGGATGAGAGATTGGTAGCTAGCCTTATTAAGAGTGTTAGTTGTTAACTTGTCATATACATTTTGGGACATCAACCTCAGAAGTGGACTCGCATCACTAGGAACAAAATCATGAGGGCGGTAAGGCCCAAAGCGTACAACATATGACAAGTTAGGTCGGACTGTTATAATTTTTCTCATTTTTTTGTTTATTAAGATAGAATTTTTAGTATTTTTTTATGCTAATTCTTTTTAACTAATTTCTCTCTTTTCTTTTAGTGTGGCCTCTATTTAAGGTGTTTTGAGAATATAATAACGGTTATGGTTTAAAGTACTTTTCACTTATAAATATATCAAAATAATATTTTTTTTATTTTTTTAAATTATTTTGACACCAGCACATCAAATTAAACGATCTGAAAATATAAAAAATTAATTTTAAATAAAACAAATTCAAATTTTTGAGGAATTCCCAACCACACCCTTATACTAGTAAAACAAATGTTCTTTTCACTCTTAGGTGCTAATCTATTACACACACTTCCATAATCTTCTTGTATTTTCTTAGACTTTCTAGTGTCACCTAAAAGTCCCCTCCTTTTTTTTCAAACAAAATATATTATCTGTCTTTTTTTTTTGGGAAATTCAATTTTTAAAAATCAAAATGTGCTCTCTCTTTTAAAAAAAAATCAAAGAATTTTGTTTGACTTTTTTATTTTTAATTAATATTTTTGAAAAATTTGTAAATATGAAAAAAAAATGATAAAAAATTATAAAATAACCAAAAATTAGCCAAAAATGTTGAAAATATATTTTTCATATTTTTATTATTTCAAAAATATAGGGGTAAAAAATTATGTTATGACAATAGTGATCACAACTATTAACAAATTACAAAATGCATCAAATGATTATAAAATTAGCTTTCTTGAACGATGAATTTGTCAAAGAGGTTTACATGGAACATTCTCAAAAAATTTCATTTAATTGAAATACCAAGTGAAACATAATAGAATAATTTTAATGAAAGATCATCTATTTAAATGAAAAATATGATCATTTCTTTGAGAATTTCAAAAATATTCAAAAATGCTGACCTTTAATTATAAAATAGCTTTTGAGTTTTTTATTTTTATTTTTGAATAATATTGAGATGTAATGCAATTAATTAAGGTGATGTTGTTAGAATTTTAAAAGACTAATGAGCAATAATTTTTGGATTACTATTACATGTTTTACCTCGCAGTTAAACTAAACAAACATCTAATCTAAATTTACATTAGGTTCACTTATCCAGGTCACTATTTATTTTTTGACAACAAGATGTCCATCAATGTCGCTTGTAAACAACAATATAGTTTCAAATTTTCTTTTCAGATTCTTTGTATTCTGTCTTATCTTTCAGCTCCACTTAATTGATGGGCTGCTTTATAATATAATTCTCTCCATTATTATTATATATAAAAAAAGTTGTGATGGATATTTTTCTATGAGTTGTGAGATAAAAGACATAAACCACAAGCTCACATTGCTTGGGAGATGTTTCTTTGAGTGTAATATATTCAATAAGATGGGAGAGGATACTAGAAAAAAAAATAGTGCTGGATTAATAATGCATAATAACTCATAATTATTGATTATATTCGAATAATTACTACCCATTGATTATGCATGAATGAATTCAAATATGCAAATTTTACAACGTTTTAAAAGCTACGAGATAATCAATTTAAAAAAAATGCTGCTTTGGAATCATTTTGCAATTTACTTAAACCAAAATTGTTTGGCCTCCATGCATAATATTGCAAGTTACTTTTCTTGGGTATTTTGATACTTGGACAGGGACAATTTGGTAATGTGAGGTTATTGATTCAGAGTTAATAACAGTTTGAACGGTAAAACAATATCTTTATAAAGAATGCATGTCTCAAGGGAAGCGCATTGCAAGCTAAAGTAATGGCTAAGCTTTATCTTAATAAGCTGTTTCCTAAGCTTGTTCCCTCTCTTGCCGTTCTTCTTCTTTGTCAATTTGGCTATGTAGCAAGTCAATCAACAGGTCTCTCTAACAGCAACCGGTTGCCTGAAGGAGAAGGTACACACGCACGATATACTTTTCCATCTACATATATATCCTTTTCGTACTATATACATAAAAAGGAAGAAAATTTGTTTTCAAGAATATAAAATCAATTAACTGTTTAGACTATAAACTCACTCATGTTTGCAAGAAACTCATCCAAACTAACAAGAGGAAGAAGAGAGAACACTTGAGCTGGAAGGAAGGGTATTAATCTTTGTGACCCAAACAATGAAGAGCCTTGCTAATAACCAACCTTATGCTTAAACATTGCTCCGAAGAAGAATGGAATGTTGGGTGTGAGGCTCTGCTTAACTTTGGAAGCTGTGGCGGATGAAAAAAAAAACCCAACCTTATTGCTATTTCTCTCTTCCATTTGCACTCTAGGGCTTCCACAGCCTGGCAGATAGTTCCGTAGTGCTTTAGTTTTATCTAATTGCTAGCCTACGTACTGCATCTCTTAGATATTTTCTGCTTCTCCATAGTTTCCTATAACTATCAAGTGAAGTAATGTGAGGTAATTGATTCAGAGTTAATAACAGTTTGAACGGTAAAACAATATCTTTATAAAGAATGCATGTCTCAAGGGAAGCGCATTGCAAGCTAAAGTAATGGCTAAGCTTTATCTTAATAAGCTCTTTCCTAAGCTTGTTCCCTCTCTTGCCGTTCTTCTTCTTTGTCAATTTGGCTATGTAGCAAGTCAATCAACAGGTCTCTCTAACAGCAACCGGTTGCCTGAAGGAGAAGGTACACACGCACGATATACTTTTCCATCTACATATATATCCTTTTCGTACTATATACATAAAAAGGAAGAAAATTTGTTTTCAAGAATATAAACTCAATTAACTGTTTAGACTATAAACTCACTCATGTTTGCAAGAAACTCATCCAAACTAACAAGAGGAAGAAGAGAGAACACTTGAGCTGGAAGGAAGGGTATTAATCTTTGTGACCCAAACAATGAAGAGCCTTGCTAATAACCAACCTTATGCTTAAACATTGCTCCGAAGAAGAATGGAATGTTGGGTGTGAGGCTCTGCTTAACTTTGGAAGCTGTGGCGGATGAAAAAAAAAACCCAACCTTATTGCTATTTCTCTCTTCCATTTGCACTCTAGGGCTTCCACAGCCTGGCAGATAGTTCCGTAGTGCTTTAGTTTTATCTAATTGCTAGCCTACGTACTGCATATCTTAGATATTTTCTGCTTCTCCATAGTTTCCTATAACTATCAAGTGAAGTAATGTGAGGTAATTGATTCAGAGTTAATAACAGTTTGAACGGTAAAACAATATCTTTAGTTTTTTCTTTTTTTGTTTTCCTTTTAGTTCGGATTTGAAGCTAGCTAGAGGTAGCTTGAGGTTGAGGAAGCTAAAAATATATGGTTTTGAATCTTGCTAAACAAAATATGGTTTTTCTTTGTTGAAAAACGTTTGGCAGCAAAGGCTTTGGATGAATTGATGACCACGTTAGGGTGGGGTTTTCAACAAATCTCACGCTCGTCTTGTGACAATTATTTTCAAGGCATCACATGCAATTGCACTTACGAGAACAGCACAGTTTGTCACGTCACCCGCCTGTAAGTTCCTCATCAACTTCATCCAATTTTATTTTATTTTTGTAAGGCAATGCATCCTCTTTAAAACTCACTGGTTTCTATGTTGACGCCATTTTTGGGTGGTAGAGAACTCTCAAGCCGCGAATATTTAACCGGACAAATCAACGCTACAGCCTTGACTAGTCTCGATTACCTAGAAAAAATGTGAGTATCATATGACATGTGATGATAATCATTCGAATCAGTATGCTGAGCTCAACTAATTGATAACAACCCTATTACATTAATAACAGTGATTTGTCCAACAATCAACTTCATGGTAGCATCCCTGTCACCATGGGGAGCTTGTCTTCACTCTACTACATGTAAGTGATCCAGTACCATGGTAATATACTACTACTGCAGTTTATTTTGTTGCAGTGATTTGTCCAAATATATTCTTTATTTTAAATATACTACAATATATAAAATAAAATTAAGATTCTCTATGTAACTCGATTCAAGAATCCCTATAATTAATATATTTAGCTTCTGCCTCGGATATTCGGTCTTTGGGCTGCAGTTATTTAGATTCGACTAGATACACATAGCCTTTGAGCATGCAATTATTGAGTTCCAGCTGCATAATATAACGGTTAGAGAATCTAAAATATATACTGTAGGATTGTGAATCGAAGGGCTTGGACTTGTGCTTTGGACTTGTAGGATTGTGAGCAATTGAAGGGCTTGAGCACGTTCAAGATCTATCCCAAATTTATTTAACATATCAAGAAAATACATCTTAAAACAAGTAAATAATCATTCACAGACATTCAAACTAGACATAGAAAATTCAAATGATTAATAAATATTAATAAAAAATAATATTAATTAAAAAATAATATTAATATTTTAAAACATTTACATTTATAATTAAAAATAATGTTGCCACTATAGGTAACTGAAATAGTATCTTGGAAGGGTATTACCAAGGAAATTCCCAAACTCACAGATCCAAATTATAACAAAATATGAAAATAATATTTTGTATATAGAAAATAGGATCAACTTGTCTATCTTTAATGCAACATTCTCGTGGGAAAGCACAAAATTAACGTCTTACAATCCTTAGGTCAATTTTCTATAAACAACCAAAAAATACAAGACACAATTAAAAATAAATCCCGTTCTTGGAAAAATGGTGCCATCAAAATTAAATTGCATGAATATGAAAAATTAATTAATGTATTAATCGATTCTATTACAGGCAACATCCAAAGGATAAAACCCAATAAAAAATCTTCTTATCCTAAGTTGATTTATGAATAAAAAAACAATGAATATAAAAGATATATATTTACTAATTTTATTATTTGATAGACAACATTTAAAAATAAGACTCAATAACAAATCTTCTTTTTCTATGTTGATTTATAGATAAAAAGACAATTAAACTGGATCGAGTGTGTAACGGCAGTCTCAAAATTGTGTTCCGGCACAACCAACATATCTATGGGTGTATCCAATGCAATGCAAGGTCGTATTGCATAAAAAAAATACATTAGATGCCCCGCCCCAACCACCCTGTCTATGGGTGTATCCAATGCAATCAAAGATCATATTGCATAAAAAAATACATTAGATGTTGATCATTAATTAATAAATTTATTAAATTAAAGTAATTATTTAAAATAATTAATTTCAATTGTTAATTAAAAAAGAATATATATATATATATATATCTTTTCATCTCAAATATAATTATCCCAAATAATATTTTTTTCTATTGTTTCATTAAAGAGTAAAAATATGTTACAAGTATAATTTAGATGTGTGTTTGAAGAACTAAAAAAAAAAAGTGCCCTTGTTTCTGGTAAAGAAATCTGTATTGATTCATCATTTAATGTTTGTAATCTTTTGTTATATTTCCATTAATGTACTGTGAATGTCTTCCCATTTCCCATATGCATAGCAATCTTTCCGAAAACTTCCTCAATGACTGTCTGCATAGTTATGTGCAAATTAAGAGCTGATTAGCTTTTGGATCATATACAATAACTAATTTCAGTTCTTAGTATGTCTTCATAAAATTTATATTACTGGTTCTTAGTGAGTAATAATGAACGTATTTGGTAATACATATGCATAGCGATCTCTCCACAAACTTTCTCAATGGCTCCATACCTCCATCCTTGGGGAATTTGCCGTCCCTCGAATATCTGTAAGTACCATGTAATCACAGTCTCTTCAGTATCATATAGTTAATGTAAGTTTTATCTTCAGTGTCAAATAAATTCTTTTTCCATTGCTGATGCAAGTTTTGTGCTCTTATTCCTGTGGGTGTTTATATGTATTTTATTAATATTGACTTTTTTTCAGAAACATCCATGTCCAGTTTTTAAAGATTCTCATTTTCTTTCTAATCAAGTATTTAGATTTCATGCTTCAAAACTAAATTTATTATTTCTAATATAGTTAAAAGCAAACTATCCATCATCAATTTAAAAAAAAAAAAGAGCAAATGACACTAACCAAAACTACCCATTATATGAATTATAGGAGAACATCTTGGATATTTGGGGTTGATTTTATACCATTTCTGTTCTTTTAAAAAATAATATATAATGTTAAGAAAAAAAAAAGCATTAATAATCCATTGTTAGAATACACGCACACATAAATCTAACATTTTTTTTTTCCCTAAAATCACTTCTTTTAAATTATATTCCATTAAATACTTAGATTCCATCGATAAGTTCCAAAAACCCAATAGTTAAAATTTCATTTTCATTCGGAGAATAAAGTGGTTAGGACTACATAATTATATTACAATGGTGAAAATTTGAGTTAAGAACTCATATTTATTTCATTATAAGAAGTTACTGAATAGATAATTGATAGATTAAACTTGTAGTTGTAATAATTACGATTTTTTAATAGTATCTTTGGTGAAACATTTTCAAGTAAAATTAGTTTTGTTAGAAATGAAAATAAGGGCAAGCCGTTTGGGGACTTGATACTTATAAATGTTCATGTCAAGGTGTTAATGGTCACAAAAATTAACTTCTGAGTTCTGTTTGGTTCATTTCTCTTATGTAATTTGGATAAAATCCTTGTTTGGCTGTCTGCATGGTTATGAGCAAAGAGCTTCTTAGCTTTTGGATCATATATAATAACTAATTTCAGCTCTTAGTGTATATCCATAAAATTTAAATTATTGGTTCTTATTTTATCATTTGAGTAATAATGAACTTATATGGTAATACATATGCATAGCTATCTCTCGCGAAACTTCCTCAACGGCTCCATACCTTCATCTTTGGGGAATTTACCGTCCCTCGAATATCTGTACGTGTCATCCAATCACAGTTTTTTCAGTATCATATAATGTGAATTAAATTCCTTTTCTATTGCTAATCGATGCAAGCTTTGTGCTCTTATTCTTGTGGGTGTTTTCAGGATTTTGAACTATAATATGTTATCAGGTCAAATCCCCCCAGAATTGGGCAACCTCTCTAATCTCCGATTGCTGTATGGAAACTCGCTCGCTCGCTATTTCATTCTCCTTGAATTTCCTTTTAACTCATTGAGTTTTGCTTGGTTCTTATCTCTTATTTAACTAGGGCCTTGGGCTTCAATGAACTCAGTGGTCAGCTTCCTCCAGAACTTGGAAGATTGGGATCTCTTGGTTATTTGTAAGTTTCAAAAAGAAGAATAATAATATCATACCACCTTGTAAAACCACGGAAGATAGTAAGAGGAGAAATAAAATAGAAAAAGGGTGGATTACAATCCTTTTGATTTGTTGTTGTAGAGAGCTGGGCTCCAACAATTTGAGTGGAGAACTGCCGGGAAATTACTCCAACTTTAGTTCGGATCAATTGGTGTTTTTGTAAGTGCAACTCATCATGTTATTTCAACCAACAATCTGTTTAATTATTGTTCCAAGGAAAAGCAACTAACTATGGCTGCAGTAGCGTATCTGGGAACCGTTTGACTGGTCAAATACCAAGGTTCATTGCGAATTGGACTGGACTCTATTTCCTGTAAGAAATTACCTGTACTTTCTGTAATCATTTGAGCAGAGAAACTGTCATTCAATAATTTGTGTTTTTGTGTACTGAACACAGGTCCCTCTGCGGAAATGATTTTGAAGGAGAGCTGCCTCTTGAAAAAATTTTAAACTTGCCAATTCTCGAATACTTGTAAGTGTTCTATAATTTAATTTAACCCGGTTAAAATAAATGCATGTTTTATTCTGGATGGTTTTTCTTCCAGGTTTGTTAGTGATGTAAGAAGCTCCGGTTTCCCTTTCCCAAAAAATGCAAGCATGAAGGAAATAAGATACCTGTGAGTTTTTCCTTCCTAAGGGCGAAAGCTCGCATGCATCACTAACTTGCTATAGTACTAATCGGTCAATGGATGAGGAGAAAGCCAATGAGCTTATAGCCTAACTGCCACCAACATCACCACTCTTCACACGCATTAACTTTGTTATAATTTCAAATTGGCAAAGCCACAATGTTTTGATATTGTGGTTGTAGAATTGTGGATATGGTATAAAGATTAATTTCACATTGAATAATAAAAACCACACACCCTTGGAATTGTATTTGTCTGGGAGCGTTATTGTTGTAGAATTTGGATTATATTTTTTTTAGGCCTATTTTTCTTTTTATTATCTAGAGTTTTTTTTACGAGCTATTACATGCTGTGATGACTAGTTGTATCTGGGATTCAGGATTGAGAATTTTTTAAAAAATATGTATATATTAATTACGACTATTTATGCACGTGACTCTTAATGATATGGATGCATTGGATAAATCCAAACACCAACTTCTTCAATGGTTTGTGTAGGATGATAAGGAATTGCTCAATAAGTGGTGAGATCCCCCCGTACATTGGTGATTGGTCATCGTTAAAATACCTGTAAGTTTCATTCCCTCTTTTGTAAAGGATTTGTAGTCCTGTCATGGCTCTTTAATTTTTAGAGTAAACAAGTTGTATGCTGTTGAAAGTAGTTCGTCTAAGATTTGATTTGATAGATTGTTTTTTGATTAATAGTACCACTTCATTATCATTGAAGATTAAAAACCTTTTAAAAGGATGACCCGATGGCGCTTTGGATTATCAACCTAATTAAGAATAATCCTGTTGTAAAAAACTTGTATATATGAAACTACTCTCATGTGTGGTGTGATCCAGTAAAAGAAGAACCCTTCCTATACACTTAATTCGTTCTCATTCTAGAATTTTCCACTTTAAGTGAAAATATCAAGTTGTCAAAAATTAAAAAAAAAAAGTCAATAGCGAGCTTGAATATTTTAACCTAAAAACTAAAAACAAATCAAATCAAACTTAACTTTCCATTATTTTTTTATGAAATTATTAAGGATAACGATTAATTGCTTTCATTTCTTTTACCCTGCAGAGACTTGAGCTTTAACAACTTAACGGGTCGAATACCAGATTCCATGAAAAACCTGAATTTGACTAAGATGTATGCAAAAGAACTCGATCAGTCCATCTTATAATAAGGTCGTTTTGCCACTCTATTAAAAAACAAGTGATGGTTTTCATATCGGTTTGTTCTGTTCAGGTTTCTCACGAGAAATATGCTTAGTGGCACACTACCTCCCTGGCTTCCTCATAAAATTGAGGACAAGGCGTATGTTATGGCTTTGTGCTCTTTGCTCAGATTGGTTGTTTTCCCTTTTGTAGAATGCCTCAATAAAATCTTGATATGTTTATTTGAAACAAAAAATGTTGCAGGGACTTGTCATATAATGATTTTGAAATTCCAAATGATGGTCCGAAGAAAGGAGAAGGAAAGCTGAACATGTAATAACGGCAACTTCATTTTCTTCTTCCTTTTGTTTCACTTGCAAGAATATTATTGTCTATGAAATCCCAACTTCTGATCATTTTGTATCATGTGCACCAACTGCTTGCATGTTGTTCCTACTCAAGCAGTGAACCAAACAGGTATGGTAATATCCTCCATATGGTGCAATTAGTTTAGAACAAATGATCCTGAACTGTTTCTTACAAATTTTGTTTGTTATTTCTAGGAATTCTATACTTGATTTGAAAAATAAATGTCGGGGAAAACCAAAGTGTAAGTTCTATTGAGAAGCTCTATAATTTTGCGCAGGACAGATTTTCTGTACTGATTATCATTTTTTGCAGACAATTCCTTATATATAAATTGTGGAGGAGGAGAGACAGTTGTTGATGGGAAAGTGTTTGAAGCAGACAGTGCAACATTAAATTACCATTTAGCTGGAAGAAAAAATTGGGCTTATTCTTGTTCTGGAGACTTCGGATCGAAAACTTACGATTCCAGTGATTACATAAAAAACGTGGATTGTGGAGTTTGTGATTCTGCTGCGACACAGTTTAACACTCCAACTCGCCTCTGTCCTCTTTCTCTGACATATTACGGCTTCTGTTTATTTAAAGGAAATTACACTGTGAAACTTTACTTCGCTGAAACTGTTTACCAAACTGATGAAGATTATTCTAATTTAGGGAAACGTGTTTTTGATGTATATATACAGGTAAACACTATATTTTTCTGCAGCTTCTTTCAATAATTCCCATCGTTCAACATCCACTGTTTGATACAGGGGCAGAGAGAACTAAAAGACTTCAACATAAAAGAAATGGCCGGCGGCACCAATAAGGCATGGACTGCAAATTTCACAGCACATGTCGGAGATGATCATCTATTGACTATCCACTTTTTCTGGGCCGGAAAAGGATCTTTCCAGGTGCCAGGTATTTCCTATTCAAGTACTGCTGCCCTGTCTCTGAATGGACCCCTTGTGTCAGGCATTTCCGTAACTGCAAGTAAGAATTGCGTGCTCTTAATTTTGTTGAGCAAAGATTTCTGCTACCCTTCATCTGGATAAATAATTTTTTATTTCTGTCTTCCACTATTTGTATCCAGACTTCAAAGTTGGCACGGGACTATCTCCTTCACAAATTGCAGGGATTACTGCAGGTTCAGTATTTGCTCCTCTACTTCTGTTGGCTTTCATGTGGAAAATGGGCTGGCTGCGGAAAAGCGAGTTGGATGGTACCTCTCCATGCTAATCTAAAATCATTATGCACCAAACTACCATAAGAATTCTTACTTCGATGTTTTCTTCAAATAGAATTAACCATTGAGGTCCAAGGAAAACCTTTCACCCTCAAACAAATAATCGATGCTACTCGAAAATTCAGCCCCAAAATGGAGATTGGCAGGGGACGCTTTGGAATAGTATACAAGGTCAGATTTTCTTTTTTGAAACATTTATTCCTCAACATGCACTTTTTTCTTTTGAAGTTCTGGCAAATTGATTTCACGTGTAAGCAGGCTGAACTGCCGAACAAGGTTTGAGGTATTTACATGAAGAGAAAAGGTTCAAGATTGTTCATGGAAACATAAAACCTAGTAATATTATGCTTGATAACTCTCTTACGGCCAAGTTGTCTGACTTTGGATTGGCAACGCTTTGTGATGAGGAAGATCCATTTATGGCCATCAAAGCAAAAGGGTCGCGGTAAGTATTATGATCATTGATTGACAATTACTTTTATTCTTTAAATATTAAGAGCTAACCAATAAATAATCTCTTATTGCAGAGTTTACATGGCACCTGAGTATTCAATGGGAAAAGCAATAACTGTTAAAGCTGATGTTTACAGTTTCGGAGTTGTCCTACTCGAAATAGTTAGCGGGAAAGTTAGTGCAGATTACACACCAAACCAAGAAGCTGAGTTTCTTCTGGATAAAGTAAGTGGATCTGACAGGATAAATCCTCTTTAGTTTATTTATTTTTGTAGTTATTATCAAACCAAACATGTTCTGTCAACATCAAATGACTTGTGAATTTTACAACAAGCTCACAGAAGAAATTTATAATAGAAAAGGATATTATTATTTAATAATTTGAAATATATGTTACATTCAACTCAAGCAATATTTATATAATCATATAACAAGAAACATAAAAAAAACAAAATAAAATAAATTATAGAAAATATATTTGATTAGATGATTAAAATTATTGCTTGATTACCTAGAGTTGTTGAATTCCTTGATCTCTTCCTTTTCTTATTAGAAAAATAATCAATAATATTTACCTTGATTATTTTCTTAATATGTTCTCTCAAACTTATGGTAATTTTATTTTTCTTCAGTTTGACATACATCACTTCTATTGTCATTGTATGCTTATCTTTAACAGTTGTAGTTTTCTAAACATAGTTATTCTTAGTCTTTCTTTTATTTCTCTTGCCAAACATTTAAAAAAAAAATTGACTTTTCAAGAGATAGTTCTTCCTAGCAAAAGAGATGGAAAATGGCTAAGGAACTATGATAAGAAAAATATATTAGTTTGAGGAAGAACTATCTCTTGTCAAATAAAATGAGCCAAAATAAAATGGACAAAATTTTTCAATGTTTTTAAAAAAATTACTCATGTCAAACTAAAATATTTGATAGATAAAGAAGAATTTGAAAAAAATATATTTTAAAATGATCGGATGAATAACAAAAGATTATCCATTGAAAGAGAAAAGGCTAATATTTATATATTTGACTGCTCTGCTAGCAAGAAAAAATTTAGAATAAAAAAAGATATTATTATTCAATAATTTAATATATATATATATATATATTACATTCAACTCATGTGGAGTTTATATAGTTATATAAAAAGAAAAATAAGTAAATAAAATAAAATAAAATATAAAAAATATATGGTTAATCATTTTTTTAATTGGATGATTAAAATAATTTCGTGATTGCTAAGAGTTATTTAATTTCTTGAATTTTTTTTATTGATTAGAAAATAGTCAGTATTATTTACTTCATAAAAATAAAAATAAGTAAATAAAATATAGAAAATATATGGTTAATCATTTTTTTAATTGGATGATTAAAATAATTTCGTGATTGCTAAGAGTTATTTAATTTCTTGATTTTTTATAATTGATTAGAAAATAGTCAGTATTATTTACTTCATTATTTCCTTGATATAAAGGCTCCCTTCACCATGCGTTGTTTGGTAATACTGCCATCAATTGTAGGCTAGTGTTTTGCACTATAAGGGAAGAATCCTTGACTTGGTGGACAAGAGATTAGCATCCAGTTACGACAGGAAGCAGGCTCTAACTGTTTTGCTGTTAGCAATGAAGTGCGTTAATCTGTCTCCTACTCTCAGGCCTAAAATATCTGAAGTCATCAGTGTACTTGAAGGTGAGAAAAGAATCGATGAGATTTTCGAAGGTGATACTCCATCAGCAAATATTGGAGGACTGTGCGGTGCGTGTTCCAGGGTGTTGGAAATAGAGCCAATTTCTTAGCCAATTGGTAATGTTAAGTTTGATGATGAAAACCTTCTGCCTCTTCTTCTTTATTTTGTGATTACTTGGGTCTGATTATGTGGTGGTGACAAGAGAACATTGATGTGTGCGTGAGAGACTCCATATGTGAGAAAATATGTGTGTTTGCTTCGTCTGCTATGATTTATTTGTGCTGTTATGGCTGCTAGTAATTTCGTGAATCGAATAAAATTATCATTTGCGATCCTTTATATATAGCCTATATAAAGGATAATTTTATGATATTATCTACTTTATAAACTTATTAGATTTATCTAAGCTTTTTATAGTTATGTGCATGATCTGCTGCTTCATTTCCTTCCCTTATAGAGAAATTGCTAATCAGAATGACGCAAATTACCCCAATTTGAAAAGCTAATTTAGAGGTGCCTCTTGTGGGTAGGTAGTTTGATGTCCGAGGATTTTTAGAAAAAGAAAATATTTGTTTTTTTAGTTATTTTATTTTTATTTAATTTAAAATTTTGTTTTTTATGATATTTTAATATATATTTTCTATTTTTTTAGGAATTATTCAGTTTAATCTATTTTTATTTTTTTTACTTAGTTTAGGCCTAAAACTAGTATAAGCAAAGTTTGTTAGCTTTTATTTCAGGATATTAATAAAAAAGAAAATAATAGATGCTCATTGTGGGTAGATAATTTTGTTACCATGAAACGACACGCACTAACCCTCTCGCTCCTCTCCATGGCCATAACCTTCGTGGTAATCGACGCGGTGGTCCCCGGCCGATGGACCCCAAAAGGAGACTTGGGGAACGTGGTTACCGGCGTATGGACCCCAATAAAAAACTTGGGAGTTCTTCGCCATTTTTGTGCATAACCACGAAGTGAAATCCAATTTGAAGCTTGTGAGTTTAATTGAAGGCAAAACGCATTACAGATTTATTATCAATTTCGTGACTACTTTTAGAGGATTTGTCCAAACATCTCATGCCGAGTGATAAATTTAGAAGTTTAGAATGTATTTAAAGATAAGATCAATTCAATTAAGGATACAAGGACAAATTAGAGAATTACTATAAGGACAGATATAGCTATCAACCATGTATTTTTAAAAAGCATATCTTGTCTCAGTATGGATTGATTATCTTTGATACGTAAAATGTCAATAAATCTTATAATGAAAGTTTTCCTTCTTTTTTTTTCAATTTTATGTTCAGATTTTTTTTTGCTAGTTGATTGGGTTATCTTTAAACCAATAAAATTAATTAAATTATATTGAAAAAACTCTCACACTATTTAAGTTTAACCTTGTACAAGGTAAAATATCATATCAAAAGATTTTAAAATTAGCTTATTTTATTGAATTAAATTTAATAACTATATTATAAAATTCAATCTTTATTTATTTAGTAATTTATGGAATTCATCATCATAGTTTTTTTTAATAAAATAACATATTATAAAAAGATTTTTTTGACAAAAAAAAGTTTTGGATAAGTATATAAAAGAAGATGAAAGACTAACAAAAACAGAAAAAAGAAATAGTGCTTTTGTAAAAATTGCACTTGTAATTTCAATATATTTAAAATTATAATAGTGATGACGGTTCAAAATACTTTTTTTCTAAAAATATATTAAAATAAATTTTTTTATTTTTAAAAAATTATTTTTTATATCAGCACAATAAAATAATTTATTGAAAAATAGCATGTGAAATCACAAGTTGAAAAGAAGTTGTTTATAAGCGAAGTTTGTTGCTTTTTAAAGAATATTTTTGTTTAGAAATATATTAAAATAATATTTTTTAAAATTTTTATTTTTAACATAGATACTTTAAAATAATTTAAAAAACATAAAAAATTTTAAAAAAATCACAATACTTTCAAAGATAAAAGCTTTGACATAACTCCATTATTCGTTGGCATGTGCCATGATAAGGATGAAATCATTGATTTGAAGATAAGAGTAGCTAACAGGGTGAATAAAAAAACTGAAAAATCGATTAAATCGAGAAAACCGAAAAAAATAACCAAAAAAACCAAACCAAAAGAAAAAAACCGATTAAATTGATTAAAATTTTAAAAAAACCGGCCGGTTCGGTTTTGGTTTGGGTTTTTTTATTGAAAAAAAAAAAAAAACCAAAAAAACCAAACCGAACCAAACCCAAACCTAAAAAAAACCGAGCCAAACCGAAAAAACCAAGCCAAATTAGAAAAACCGAGTCAAGCTAGTTTGAACCGGTTTTTTTCCCTAAAAAAACAAATCAAAACCGGTCGGTTTAACCCGGTTTCGGTTTTGTTTCAAGTTTTTTTTTCAAATTTTTTTTTTTGGTTTGGTTATTTTTTTGATAAAAACCGAACCGAATTGAAAATAAAACACCCCAAGTAGCTACTGCTTTTTTTAATGCAAAATTCTTAACTAGTACAATTTTAATTTTATAAACAAGAAGATTAAAACTCAATTTAAGACTATAATTTGATTAATCCATTATGAATTCGAAAGAAAAAATTTGTGATCATTTTGTTTTTAATGGAACGTTTCGAGGTTACCAATGCATCTTGGACCATTCCAAAAGCCGGGTTTCATAGTTAATGATGCAAGAAAAAAATTGAATTTTATTACTTAGCCAATTTTAGCTCAGCTTAAATGTGCTAATCATGTCATTAAAGTTATTAAATTTGAGATCATGTATATGGTCTAAGTTATACATTCAATGGGTTTACTTGGATTAATTAAAACAATATTATTTAAATTATTTTAAAAATAATAAATTACATAAAAAATTTAAATAAAATTTTAACCTAGTCAATTAAATTATAAATTAACCCTTCAAATTATATTTTCATCCCCTTTTTTTTTTATCCAGTACCAGTCAAGTTTTATAGATAAACTTGTGGTCGGACAAATTAAAAAAATGTCATTGATTTAAGAGTTTTGAGATAAGGTGTCTTTTGGGTTTTTTTAATAACAAAAAAAGGTGCCTTTCTTGGGTTCGGAAATAAAGTGATTCACTTCCATCAAAGAACAATAACAATCATACATGAATAATTGAGTCTTAATTAAACTAACCACTTCCAAGAAAGGCCATATAAAAAGGCACTAGATTAACATATAGATCCAGATCTTTCATTATTATTAAAAACATAATGAGTCAACAATAAATCCAAATTGTTGGAATCAAATAACAATGAAACTTTATATAATCACACATCACCTCTTATGTGTGTATATATAAAAAATACAACTATAATTTTAAAATTAAATATTGAATCACTTTTTTATATTGGATATAAATCCCTAATAGTTCCGCTATAAATTTAAAGAAATTAATATATTTAATATAATTATAAAACTTAATACAAAGTGATTAAGATTTAGAATATAAATAAAAATATCATCTCTAGTCAATTTTCAAATGTTTTTTTTAAATAATAAAAATAATATTTTTATTTATATAAAAAAATTCTATAAATTAAAAGTCATGTGTTGACCTCATTAATTGATAAATTTAATTTTTTTTATCAAACCAACTAAATTCTTTATTTATTTTCTTTAATTCTAAATTAATCGTATCTCAGATCCACTCATAAGTTTAACTAGTATCTATCTAAGTGATGAGTAGTATTGTACTGTCTATTTATTAAAAAAACTCTTAAACTTTGACCGATTAGATTCATGGGTAGATATAAAAGGCATACTCTACTTTTTTGTATAAATAAAATAAATACAAATAAATTTACCATACATAAATATTAAACGTCTAAAGAGACCTTTTTGGTATAAATATTGCATCAATGTCGAAGCTAAATGATTGTCTTAGGATACTTTTATGAATAAGACTAATTAAAAATAAATTTGCCATCTTTCTAACAAGCCAAAGCCAATGATTGTTTCCAAACCTAAGAGCTTTGAATGGAGTAAGTCCTTTCTATTACAATCTGAACTTACCCCATGATATTCCCTGCTCATATAGCTGTTAATATTAATTTTTTCTAAATGGATTAGATCGATTACTGGATAATTACGTTATGCTACTAGCCAAACAAAAAAAAATTAATGTATAAAAAAGTATTTAGACAATAAGTAATATTTTGATAATATTATTAAATTTGGATAAGCGACTCAGTTTTAAATTTTTTGATTTGATTTAAATTAAAATTAAAAATTATATTAAAATTAATTTAATAAAATATTGTGAATTTAACAGGACTCATAATAACTTTAATATCCAATAAAAATATAACTTGACTTTGAAAATATTTTTTAAAATGATAACTTATTTTAAAAAAATTAAAATAATAGTATATATAATTAATCTAGATTAATTTATTAAATTGATGATCAAAATTCTGAATTATGAACAATATTATTTTAAAACCTAAACAATAAATCAATTTAGACCCGGTTAATCTAGAACTGGAGCAATTTGAGTTGAAAAAAAAAATCAGCTGACCTTGAAAACTTTGGCTGACCTGTTTAACTAACTATGAGACCGTCGATGAATTTTATTTTTTGTGGATTTTTTTATTAAAATAATATTTTTAGAACTATAATAAACAGTGCTTTTGTGAGACGGTAATAGTGAATTCCCCTCTTTTGTAATTTTCTTTTATAATAATAATAATAGAGAAAATGAAGACGCAATAAAAAATAGCACTGTACTGTAAGTATTTAGCGGTTAGTGACACGGTAACGACTGGAATCTGTTTATGCAAAGCCCAAAAAACCATAACCGTCGAATCAAGCACACATTTTTACCAAGATCCCATGAAAACCCAATAATCCAAAAGCAAAATTGGTGGCTGAAATCAAGTAAACCGTGAACCCTTTTTCGTAGATAGAAGGCAAAATCGCTTTCTTGTGTTTTTGTGGGGTTTATAAAGGGAGGAAAGATAGGAGTCTGCGTGTCAAAACCAGCTGCCGCAGCAGCAGCAGCAGCAGCCCGGGAGGA